GAGGACGTCATATATTTAAAATCTAACATTTGACAAGAGGATTCAACGAAACAAACACAAAGAGGAAGTCCTAACAAGGGCTACCAGCGCCGTCATGATATCCAAGTTCGCCGCAGGTAAGTCTTTTGGATGCACATCGTGATAATAGTGCCGCTTTTAACGTTCGTGAAGAAAGAGGACTTTATTCTAAAGTACAAAGAGAAACTTTGAGAAACTGCAAATGTTAGCGTGCGTGTGCATCACGGATGTTATTAGAAGCTGCCAAAGGACTGAAGCGAAATTCATTCTCGACTAGTGAACGCTACATATGGTCGTAGAGAGGGCGAAAAAGGCAACTAGTCTGCGGCTGCGGGGAAGATCTTGAGACACAAGGTTTATCATTAGGCCAAAGAACCGAAATAACCTCTCCAGGAAGGTTGTATTTTGTTGCCGACGGATGGTATGACAAAGATGAACAGCTTTGAGAAAAACTTTACTTCAAAGCTGAGCGACTAGAAGAGTTGGAGGGGGAAATTGGTTAGCTGCCCAATGGGAGACCACACCTTTAGGTGGTACACCGACTGATCGAAGATGTCATCCGGCACGGATGCTGGGGTATTTTGGCCATAGACCAAATGCTTTGAGCCCATGGGGATGTCGCCAAGTATCTTTCAGGCGGAAATACACGCGGATGCGATGTAGCGATAATGTCCGACAGTCAGGCTGCTATGAGGGGTTTGAATTCTTGCGAAGTTTCTTCCGGGATGGTTCCGGGATTCTTGCCGATTGGGTCAAGACATTTAGGTCGCATTGTGCTGGCAAGCAGATATTCTATCGAAGCGAGGGGCAGTTCCAGTTTTGTTGGGCTCTCTTGCGGAATTGGAACAGGTAAGATCCGTAAGGTGCTAAGAAGCGAAGTAAAGAAAGAAAAACTGAAGCTCGGATGGGTCCTATCTGGTGGGCGTGCCATTGTAGGACACCTATTCGAAAAAGTTGCTCGGGTTCATCAAAAGTGTGGGTCTCGAAGGGGTGACTCTAGGCGGGACACTGGGCCGTCGTGGTAGGGATATAACATATCTTTCAGGTCGCGGTGCATCATCGCTCAATTCAGCAATCTACAACAATAAAACTGTTTTCAATATTTTATTTTTAACATTAGTTTATCTATATTCAACTTTCAATACTAATTTTACTGTGTGGAATCAAAAATTTCGAAAATTTTATAAAAATTATTTATTAAAAATAATTTATATATTATATTATATTTTTTTGAAAACCGAAATGATAAATTTCATTATAAATTTTAGTAAATTTCATGAACATTTCAATGAACAGAGGGTAAATCCACTGAAGATGCGATTTTAAAACTTTGTTCAGAATTATATTCCAGTATAAATAACAGCAATAACACTGCAGCTCTATTTATTGATATAAAAAAGGCTTTTGACACCATTAACCATGAAATTCTTTTAGATAAATTAGAAGCTGCTGGTTTTAGAGGAAATATTTTAAAATTCTTGGGCTCTTACCTGGAGGATAGAATACAAAGAGTGAAAGTAGATAAATTTTGCAGTGATCGAGCTTATTTAAATATAGGGGTGCCTCAAGGCTCCGTTTTGGGACCGCTACTTTTTTTAATTTACATTAACTCATTATTTTTTCATTCCTTCAGGGGGAAAATCACGGGATTCGCGGATGATTGTTCTATTTCTTATAGTGAAAACACTACATTATCTTTAAAGGAAAGTATAGATTATGATTTAAAATTACTTAAAAGGTGGTTTTTCATTCATAAACTTTTAATAAGTAGTAAAACTAAACTTATGATATTCCAACTGAGGCATTCCCATAATGAGAACCTAAATTTTCGATTTCACGCTGCTGATTGCCAGGATTCCATATGCGAAAAATGTGATCTTGCATCTATGTCATCAATTAACGATTGTTCGAGGAATTGCTCTGGTATTGAAATAGTAAATAATTTTAAATATTTAGGAATAACTATAGACAACAATTTGAACTGGAAGCTTCACATAAATAATATTCATAAATATTTGTTATTATGCATCCGTAAATTCTATGTACTTAGGAGCTTTTGTTCTAAAAGTTTATTAATTAAATTTTACTACGCGGTGGTCCAATCCAAACTGCAATATGGGATTTTAGGTTGGGAAGGAACATATTTTAACACAATAGAACCCATTGTAATTGCTCAAAAATACATTATGAAAATTATCTACCATAAAACTAGAACATATAGTAGTTGGTCATTATTTCAGGAATCGTTTGTACTCCCGCTTAGACATCTCTATGCTTATAAGTGTTTTAAAAAAATTTTTAATTCTGGAACTTCATTACGTATACGTAGTTGCAATTATTACAATCTTAGAACAAACAAACTTAATCTAGCTAGTACACCATTTGGATCTAAAACTCATTATAAAAAATTCTTTGAAACTCGAGCACCAATTTATTTTAATAATCTTCCTCTTCACATCAGAAATGAAACTGTTTCTCATAAATATGGAAATTTTCCTATAGTCTTCTGTAAATAAAATCATTCCGTGAACTTTTCCTTCTCACTCTTTGTATTTCTTCTCTTATTCTTTTCAATTTTGAAAAGTTATATTGAGTTGAAAATACTCAGGAGTGGGAAAGTCCTCGGGTCACTTCATTAATTTGAAATGACCTATGAGATAATTTAAATAAAGATTTAAAATTCTGACTTTTAATAATTTTAGATGCGTCTAATATTATAACACCTACAAATTGCTTTGGCGATGTCGCGGTGGTTTACAACAAAAATTTTATCAAATCAATTAGTATTCATGGCAAATCTGTTGTTGATATAAGACCCGACATTGATAAAGATAGGGTTCTTACCTTCTGCACAGCACTTTTTCGAACAAAATCCTGCTGTCAGTTGGAAAACATATTATTAAATGCTGATAATCTTCAATTGTCTTTGCTTAAACCTGTGGACATTCCTCCTCAAACTTCCTCAAAAAAAAAATTATAATGCAGTATCATTTGACTATAAAGAAGAATCCAGCTCTTCAGAGATAAATGATTTTAAATGGATAGTCTTGTCAGAAAACTATGATAGAATTAGTCCTGCAATGCTCAAAATTCCATATTTCGTTATTAAAATGCATGTGAAAAGAATTAGTGATAAAGAAAATATTACTCTTTTTAAAGAACGTATTGCTAAGAAGTACTTTAACTGCGATTATCAAACTTTGTGTAATAAAGAAATTAAGCAAATGATATTAAATTACTTATGTTGTTCTTTCTACCCAATGTGTAACTGCATGTTTAAAAAATAGTAGCTGATTTGTTATACAAGATAGATATAAGAATTGATATAAATATAAAATAAAATTTGTCTTAAACCCCACATTTACTATTTACTATTTATATATAAATTGTATTAAGATACAGCTATGCAACACTAGTGAATTTCTCACTACTGCATAGTTTATATTTTTGTTTTCTATTTTATTTTTAATTTTCATTCAGATTTTAATATATTTTTTGCAACAATATAATATTAATTAAAATTATAATATATAATTTTAAATTTTGTATTAATTAAGTTTTTGAAATAATTATAAGTTAATAATAAATTGTTATATTATATATTATAGCATACTTTTATTAGACCTAAAATATTATAATCTTGAATACATATTGTAAATTTGAATAAATTTAAATAAATAAAAAAAAAAAATAAAAAAATATTATCAATATCAAAAAATTATCAATTTTGTAAATACTAAGAATTTGTTATGCAATTTTTTATGTGCAAAAGGTTTTTTAAAAATAAAATCGTACATAAGTTTTTCAATACTTCAGACCTGGCACATATTAATACGTAATTACCTGCAGTGTATGTTTCAAAAAACTATTTGCAGAAAATCATAAATTTTATTTCAAAAATGCAGGATAACATTTAAAGGAGTAAAATAAAATTTTAGTTAATTTAATTTAATTATATTTTTAGTAATTACTCTTGTGTATTTTTCTTTTGTACAGTTTTGATAGAACGTATAGTCTCGCAAAAATTTAAAGTTTTGGAATGATCTGAAACATTTATGCAATAACATAGGGCTGGAACTTGAGAAATTCAAAAACGTTTTCGAACAAGTAAATGGAACGAGTCCACTAAACTTTTAGACCGACACCATACTATACTATTGATACTTTTATAGAAAGGAGCTATTTCGAAGCCTAATGAAATATTTGGAACTTTTACACTTAGTTGGTTTTTTATTCTTTTCTCTTTTATTCTAAGTTAGAAGCGTCTCTACTCTTAAAAAACTCAGCAAATCGTACCACGTTGTGTGTAATATTATAACCTATACTTATGTAAATATGTATGAATCTGTTATATACGAGTAAAAAGCTGTCTGCATTGTTCAGATTATAGTGTTTACACGCACTATTAATGTATCTTATAGTTATTTAGGAATAAATTTAACTATCGCGGTATGCATATTGGATACAATTCTATTATTTGAATAATAAAACACTTCCTGTTGAATTTTATTTTTTGTCATTAAAAATACTTATGCTTATTGAACAATTTATTTTAATTCGCAAATCAATAAAAATGTTGAAAATAAATTAAATAAAAAAAATCCGGTTTTGTCAATTTTTATTTCGGTTTATATAAATGAGTATAGTTAGGAATATTTTTAAAAGCTGTCAAAAACCAATCTGTCAAATATTTATTATGCCCTTCTTAGGTTTTTAAATGGAAAACTGATATAGAATTTGAAATATTTACATAAAATTTAATAATACAAAAGCAAAAATAAAAAATTATTTTTTTCAATATGTTACTTTTCTATTCTTATTATTTTTCCTTCTTATACACTTCGCGCATGGCTTTTGATTTGCTTGTCTTATATTTTTTTAACAACATTTACACAGTTAATTGACAATTAACATTACAGGGTCAAGAGTCTCGTAAGTCTCATTTTAAAAAAATATTCGCAACAAAGTATCGGTTTACTTACTTTGGCCATATCTGTTATTGTGTTTGCATTGTCCATTAATTTCCTCTGATCCATTTTAACTTTACGCAATCTAAGGAAAAACAAATAAGAAATGAGTGTATAGCGTCTTACAAAGATTAGTTTAATTTGATTGCATCGTATAATTCAAATCGATTATATACGTAACAAATAACTATATAAAGTAAAGGTAAAATACATCTATATGTATAAACTTATCGTGTGTGCTTACATTGCAAGCATTGCACATGTTATTATACATTGCAAGCATTGCATATGTTATGTTATGTAGATTTGAAATTATATTCCATTCTGTGTGTGAGATATTTCATATACTTTTGTTTTTATTCAAAAACACACCGGTAATATACATATAGATATGTTTTCTTCTTAATATATAATAATATAAGACTAAGAAAAAAAGAAAAACTCATAAAAATAATAACAAAATAGTATATAATTAAAAAAATAATTAGCTTCATTTAAGATCTAATATTCTTTGAGTAATCTTCTTTAAAAATAACCCTAAATTGAAAAGCTAATTTGTTTTTACAAAAACTCGGTATGAACCTCGCTTTGAGATATGTCGCTTAAAATCATAAATTATCGTTGACAAAAGGCATTATAAGCAATCACCGTGTCACATGTATCATTCTATAAAGCATAAGAATAAAATAATTGCCTGAATGTATAGTTATATAGGTAATATTAAAAATAGTTATAACGCTATCATCAACATTCAATAATGTCGTGTTACAATATACGAGTAATACTCGTACTTACAAATACGTTGATTTCAGGTTCAAACCCTGAAAAATGCTGATTATTACAAGAACTTTTTATACCCTATACTTCGTGAAGGGTATATTAACTTTGGTATGGAGTTTGTAACTACTTGAAGGAGTCATCTGCGGTATGGACATATATTTATATATTCCTGCTCAGCGTAAAATTCTGCGTTGATTTAGACATGTCCGTCCGTCCGATCGCACAATAACTCAAAAACGAATAATGCAATCGACACCAAACTTTACAACCTGTTTCCTTTGTGCCAAGGACGAACTCTATTGTAAATGGACTGATTCGGACAACAGATTCGGGTAGCTGCCATACAACTCCAGAAGCTAATTTTAAATAATTCAAAAACTAATAAAGGTATCAACATAAAATTTTGTCTTACCAATTATATTCTACACATGCTCTAAAAATTTTAATGGGATAGCTGCACCGATTCGGGTGGCTGCCACACAACTCCAAAAGCAAATTTTTTATATAGTTGCGTGTCCAGTTATACCTCAGATATGTTTCTAAAGTTTTGGTTGAATTGCTTGATGGGTTCGAGTAGCTCCCATACAAGTGCAAAAGCTTATTTTAAATATTTGTAAAAATAATAAAGTCAGATTCATGAAACTTGGAGGTTGTGTGTCCAGTTATAGGTCAGATATATTTCTGAAGTTTTGGTGGAATTGCTTTACAGGTTCGAGTAGCTCCCATACAAGTCCAAAAGCTTATTTTAAATATTTGGAAAAATAATGAAGTCAGATTCATGAAACTTGGAAGTTGTGTGTCCAATTATAGGTCAGATATATCCATGAGGTTTCTACAGAATGGTTTCACAGGTTTGAGTAATTGCTATACAACAACGAAAGGTGCAGGGCATAATTCAATCGGTTTATACCGACTGAAACACTTTTGCTTGTTTTAATATAACATAATGCGGGAAAATTTTTAGAAATAACATGTCTATCAAGCGAAAATTGAGGTCAAAACCTTAGAAAATTAACTAAAACAAAGTACTTTTCAAACAAAAACGAACTTTTTTTATCTTTATTACGCAGTTTTGTGCTTTATTAACATGTACTTTATCTTTTCCAAAATGATAAACATGTGCATTACCTTTATTTCTCCACAAAATATTTCCAACAGTTTCAGGAATATCGTGTCTACGAGGATCAAATTTATAAAAAAAAACTACAAAAACTGGTTTTTCCGCAACAAATTAAATATAATCCAATTAATGTTCACCCGTTAATTTTCTTTGTGTTTTGTTATTATTCAAAAACTGTAATTGGTGATCGTCGCCTGTAGGTAAAATAGAAAATTTTAATTTTCTTATAACTTACAAGAGTGTTTTTTCGTAAGTAAACTTTTCCTTTTCATATTCATATCTCCTCAATAATACCTTTAATGATATTCTTAATATTCTAATTCATATGAAAGAAGTGTTAATAATTATTTTAGTATTCTTAGTCAGCAAAAAATATTACATATCTCTTATTATTGCTACATAAAGTGAATCCTATTGCTCCAGCCACTTTTTGCTTTTGTTTAAATCAACTTAAGTATAAAAAGAATTGTAAAATTTCTGTTGCATCAATATTTAAAACACTAATGAACTTTACCTAAATAAGGTACTTTTAATTTTTATTCATATTATTAAAACTATTATTAAGGATATGAAATAGAAAAGTTTGTATTAATAGCATTTTAGTTAATTTTGATTAGTTTTGCTTTAATTACTTTAATTTCGCTCTCCTAATAAAATACGCTCTTGTAAGTAGTAAGAAAATTAAAATTTACTATATTAACCACACCCGAAAGTTATTTATTACATTTTTCGAATAACAACAAAACACAAAGAAGGTTAAAGGATGAAAATTAATTGGATTATAATTAATTTGTTGCGAAAAAACTCGTTTTTGTTGTTTTTTTATAAATTTGATGCTCGTAGCCATGATATTTCTGAAACTTTTGGAAATATTTTGTGGAGAAATAAACGTAATGCAAATATCTTTTATTTTGGAAAAGAAAAAGTACATGTTAATAAAGCACAATACTGCGTAAAAAATATTAAAAAAGTTCGTTTTTGTTTAAAAAGTACTTTTTTTTAGTTTTAATTTTCTAATTTCATGTTATTTCTAAAATTATTTCCACATTATGTTATATCAAAATAAAGGTCACAATATAAGGCTCTTCCGACTGTAAAAATAAATGATAAGTTGATAACGTGCAATTATGAGTAAATGACGGTTTAAGAAAAATTTACAAAACCATTTTTAATTTAAATAATTTAACAAATTTTGACTATGCACTTGAATATCTTTGAAACTAAATACATCTTTGCTACCACTAGTAAACCATTTGAATGAGGATTTCACTAGCTTTAACATACTCGTAAGTCTACAAAATTGGATTTACCTATCACATCTCCTGAGTTATAAATAAAAATGAGAAAATCAGACGGTTTTTGCATGTCTCAATTTTAAGGCTCCATAACTCGAAAACAAGGGCACAAAAAGGAAAATGTCACTAGGTGTTTTCTGTTCGTCTGCATGCATTCTATCACCTTACTTCGGGAAAACCACTGAGTCGCGGACACCCTGTATATTGCGGTTTGTTATGTGCTGACTAAATCAGTTTTTTTGGATCTTATACAAAACGAAAATAAAAAGCTTTATAATTGTAATTGCATATTTGCAAAAATTAATTAATAAATTAATATTCACTTATTAAATTTTCTTAAGTGATAATAATAATAATAAAAATAATATAATGCTTATTATAATTATTGTAATAATCATTACTATTATTGATATTATTATTATTATTACTATTTATATTGTTATTAATATCATTTTAATAATTAATATTGCTATAGTTATTACAATTATTATTACTATTATTATTATTATTATTACTATCATTATTATTATTATTATTATTACTATTATTATTATTGTTATTATTATTTTCATTATTATTATTATTATTGTTATTATTATTATTATTATTATTGTTATTATTATTATTATTATTATTATTATTATTATTATTATAATTATTCTTATTACTATTATTATTCATATTGCTATTATTATTATTATAATTATTATTATTATTATTATTATTATTATTATTATCGTTCTTATTTTTGTTATTATTGTTTTTGTTATTATTGTTATTGTTATAATTATTACCTTTATGATTATCATTATTATTATTATCACTACTATTGCTATTATCATTAATATTATTAATATCATTTCAATAATTATTACTGTTATAATTATTATTATTATTGTTATAACAATTGTTAATATTACCATTATTATTATTATTACTCTTACTATTATTCTATTATTATTATTACTATTACTATTGTTATTACTTTTATCATTCTTATTATTATTATTATCATTATGATTATGGTTACTATTATTATTATTATAATTATTTTTAGTTTTAGTATTATTATTACTTTTATTACTATTATTATTATTTTTACAATCAATATTATTATTATTATTATTATTATTATTATTGTTATTATTATTATTATTATAATTAGAATTATTATTATTATTATTATTATTAATGTTATGGTTATTATTAAAATTATTGTTGTCATTATTACTATTATTGTTATTATAATTATTATTATTACTATTATTGTTATTGTTGTTATTAACATTATTATCATTAATATTATTAATATTATTATTATTATTATATTTATTTTTGTTTTTTTTTTTATTATTGTTATTATTATTATTATCGTTATTATTATCGTTATTATTATGCTTACAATTATTACTATTATTATATTTACTTTTATTATTATCATTATTATTATTACTATTAATATAATTTTAATAATAATTATTATTATAACAATATTATTCTTATTCTTATTAAAATTATTACAATTGTAAAATCATTATTATTATTTTTAATATTATTATTATTGCTATTATTTTTATTATTATTATTATTATTATTATTATTATTATTATTATTATTATTATTAATATTATTATTATATTTATTATTATTTTTATTATTATTGTTATTGTTTTTAATATCATGATTATTATTATTATTGTTATTAATATTATTACTATTATTGTTATCATTACTGTTATTGTTGTTGTTTTCATTAATATTATTATTATTTTTATTATTATTATTATTATTATTATTATTATAATTGTTGTTAATATTATAATTATATTTATGGTTATTAATATTATTTTTATTACTATTATTATTATTTCTATTTTTGTTAATGTTATTATTAATATTATGGTTACTACTATAATTATTTTTATTATAATTATAATTGTTATTATTATTAATATTATTAT